GTATTTCATGGGCCACGAGTAGCACTTGGTATCCAGCAGAGGTATGGGCACTTAGTGATTGTAATTTAGAGAACTGATACGACAAGGTTAGCTTTTTTCTAATATATACCCAACTATCAACACAATGAAAAGATAATGACGAATTGTTATCACAAGCATTTTATTTACTATGGAGGGAATGTTATTACAAGCTAACTTCACAGTAACATGTACAAGTCTTGCATGTCATTGAATCAGTTATATTAGCACACTAATTGTATTACGGCCAAGTGTAAATGATTTAAAGGCATCGTAACAATAACTTTGCGGGAGGTAGATGTATTGAAAGACTGCTTGCAGACACTATGTATGACGATATCTAGTAGAATGTCTACGGAGACTGACAACCTGCAATGAGGAAGACAAAAAGGAAACAATTAGGAGACACATAAGATAAGTATTTTTGACATAAGTATAAAATTTGGGCACTATAGTAGAGTATAACTCCATTATGGATACGATTTTATTTTGATAAATCACACAGTGTTGTACAGCAATATTACTTGGTGGCGTTTTGAGCACAAACTATTGCTCATGATCATATCAAGTCAGTCACACAACTGTTTGCCTCATTCATATACATGAGTATTTTAGTTAGGCGTACTACAGGGATAGAAGGTCACTCATCTCATTCACTTCTATTCACATTATTTCTTACGTCCGAGTTACTGACCTTTGGTTTATGTTTTCCTCTTAAGTGCACTTTATCTGGACAGTTTAAGGAATCGGGAAACGCACAGAGTACTTAGGAAACGGCATGAATAATTGTTTAGGCTAATTAACACTAAGTAGTTGTGACACTGCGCATCTGCAGTGACAAAGCTGACTGACTGAGTTTTAACATGGAAATGAGCACAGAAGTGTAGCAGTTCGATTTGTGACGTTCCACACTTGAAAAATATTATATTTAGTTGGTAATAAGCAAAACATATTTCATCAGATGTGTTTCAACTTCGCATTAATGCGTCTAAAGCTTATGTATTTTACTCCCAACAATGACGTTGCAGATCAAATGAGATAAACATATCACTGATTTCAAAATAACACATCAATGAACTATAATTCAAGGACTCTGCACACAACAAAGTATTGTACGAAAATTGACTTCAAGCTTTATTTTTTTTCCCAGGCACTTATAACCCATCCACCAAAGACCTGGTTTTTTTTGTTAATGCGAAGGCAATACTTCTGTAATTCCTGATGTGTTGCACTCACTGACAATCTAGCGGATCTTTCCAACTATGCACAGAAACGATTGTACATAAGTGAAAAGGATGTTTTATACTACTGGGATTAACATTTATCAAGTGTATGTATAATCTCCAGTGTACATGTTAAACATATTTTGCTATCGATTGTAAAATGTTGACTGAATAATATGGTCCTATTTCTGTAACAATTTGATGATGCCTGTAAACTGGCGTCCCTCATGTACTGTATCATGAGAATAAATTTATTTATTTGGGCTACACGATAAAATTAACTAACTAGTGAGATATAACGGGACAGAGTGTGAGAGTTATCTCGGGTAAGAGGAGAAATTATTGTAAGATCACTTTTTTCAGTTAGACAAGAACTAAATGAAAAAATACGATTACCATTTGCTGACATTTTGCCTATTTTTATCCACGTTTTAGCATTTCATTATACCTGGACTATAGACCATTCTGACAGACTGACTTTCAACATAGAAGCTTGCACACAAGTGCACCCGCTTAAGTTAGCACATTCCATGTATTACACAAGGGTAGAAGAAAAAAGAAATTAAATGTCACTATAATGTGCATAAATGTGATGAAAAACAAACAGTCATATGGAAAAAATATAAGGGTTGCTCAGATATGTGAGATTACACACAGTGAATGCATCTGTGTCATTAACAACGCTTGGAATCACATTTTTACTTAACACTAAGCTTAACCCCAATATTACTCACCATATTAGACTACTTAACACAGAAGAAATGGTACAGACACTACGATCGAAAACCAGTAGTCTTTTCATATCTTCCAGTTTCAATGGTCACTTATCGCAGCCTAAGTGGACAATACCATCAGCATACACTAAGTTGACAAGACTGTTCCCTGGTAAGTCCCTAAAGTGAGTGACAGACAATTCGGTTAATACATTTATGATGAAAGTGAACTAAAATAAGGACGACAGTTGTAGAAATGAGCCTTGTACTACATCCTTCTTTGAAATATCAGTTCCTTCATAGTTTAGTTTCAGTAATAAGTGAATGGAATGCAGTCTACAGATTCATGAAATTCGCATACTGACGTACTACTTTCCTAGAATCCTAGTTGATGTCTCCTCAGGAAAGTGGGAAATGAGCATTCCACTTGCGTAAACTCAATAGGCTGTGAACTGCTGACAATGAAAACGACAACAATTTTTGGTATTACTTAATTCCAAAAACGATCACATAATCTTTTATTCCGACTTCGGGTTCCATCAGATGAAATTAAAGGGAAGAGCTGAGAATAGAAGGGGTGTTGAGGGTTAGACAGTATAGATTTAGACTATTTCTCACATGAGTTTAGATGTCTTGTAACTAATGCATTAACGAGTTGACTAAATGGTACACCACTTGCCCTAATGACGACCTTAATACCTTGCACAATACGACATAGTCGTTTTTGAGTAATTCAGGAAAGAATAAGGGGGAGCAGTAAAGACCAATGCAAGAGTTAACAAGTTGTAGAAAGAGAGGTTGAATGATTCCTGACTGTCTTGAATACATAACATGGTAAGCTAGACTGAAGGTTTTCTTAGAAATCGACAAGATGTAGAATGACCGAGAAAGACCAGAGGATAGATTTACCCCAAGGTATTTTCTGTTAGAATTAGTTTCTGTTTCAGTGCCCTCTTTGATACAAACATCTTGTGAACGACACAGTTCTTGCAGCTCACGCTTATGAGTGAGGGGAAAGTTAACTGCCTGACATTTTGAGGGATTTAACGCAAGACCACGTACCTTAGACTACAGACAGGAACCAGTTAAGTTTGCTGCAGTCACATTGTAACATGACACGAAGTGAGACGGTCAGATCACCAGTGTATTTGACGAAGTTGCTCTGATTAGAAAGAGAAAAGTCATGTAAGACGAGAGAGAAAAAAGAAAAGGAGTGATAAAAATAGCCCGAGGAACACCAGCTTCAGCAAGCGAGGCGGAAGATTTACCCTAATATACAGTATGCTGCATTCCATTTGAGAAGTGATAATGCAACCAATCAACTGCCCAGGACCCAAGTTTGCACGATCGAAACCTTATTCAACTAAAGTCATCTAGGCGCTGAGTCATCAACAACGGCGAATGCTGAATGAACGAAAGCTAAGCACAAAAGTGACAAAGCACAAATCCAGTTGCAAAGTAGGAGACGAGTCCCGGGTGGAAGAAGAGATTACTGAAAGGTATCTATTTTTCATTTGGCAAAGAACAAGATTAAGAACTACACTTATCATTTGTTGAAATTTTGGAGATCATTTATCAATGTTTCGCATTTAGTTATGCCCAGACTGTGTCATTCTGACTAGCTTTCAGTATGAGTTTGCAGAGAAGTCCACCTGTTTAATTTACCACATTTCATGTAGCACACAAAGGTAGAGACATAAAACTAAATGGAAGTTTAACGAGCGAAAATGTGAGGGAGAATAAATAGTGACAGGGAAAAACATGAGTTGAATAAATACGTAAGATTACACAGAGTGAATGCAGGTGTACCAGTGCCAAAGATTTGCAGTCACATCTCCGGTAGTTCTTCAAGCTGACTGTCAACAATTTTATGAACCAATATCACTTTTTCATTTGACCGACCCAAACACATTTTAAACCTTAACATGTGCTGGCTAGCATTGTCCCTGGAGAAAGGCGATGGCTTTGTATGCCAGCACGTGTTCTAGCCATCTCAACCTATTCAGCTTCCCTACCTTGAAGACTAACCCTCCCCACCTAAACATTTATGCGTAACCTCAACAGCACTCGCCATATTACACTGCTTTACTCATGAGATAGAACGCGGACACCTATAATCAAATACCGGTATTATTTTCATATTTTACAGCATCAGAGGTTACTTCTCATAGTCTAGGTGGACAATATCATCAGTAAACTGTGAGTTGATGAGACTATTCCCTGATAAGTCTCTAAAGTCAATTACAGATTATTCTACTAATATATGTGTGATTGAATTGAACTGATATAAGGATGACAGTTTAAGAATTCAGCCTTGTATTACATCCCACTCGGAAATGTGTTTTCTCGGATAATTCGCAAACAGTATTCAGTGAATAAAAAACATTCTGTTGGCTTAATGAAACTCGTAAACTGACGCACTACTTTTGCAGGCACTATAGTATTTCCTCAATAAGGTGAGAATTGAATATTTCGGCTGCATAAAACGAGTAAGTAGTATCCTGGGAATACCAATGACTACAACAAGTCTAGGAGTTATGCACTACAACTTTTACTTTACTGAATACACCAGCAGACTTTACATAAACACTTGACAGATCAAATTTATGCAGGAAGTCAGTAAGATTTAGTAAACTAAAAGTGCTTTCGGTTTCCACAGGAGTTCTCCGTGCCGAATTTATTCCTTCAAGGGCCTACAGAGATTAATTCTTCAATTAAATACCACTGACGTGGAAGAAATTCCATTCTTCATTACTACACTTAATGAAAAGAATCATGTTTTTTATTTTAAAAACAGGAGCATTCGTAATGTTTTACTTTATGTAAATGCAGTTACATACAGTTGCACTAAGAACTCAACGCAGCTCGATACACAATAGTATATATACAAATAAACTGAAAAATAATGTCCTCCTTACCTTCTGAACAACTTGTCCTTATTCCAGGATTATACTTTTTTCACCTATGAGCCTGAGTTACGTCTACGAAATAGCAATATTACATCAGTTAAATCTTCCCCCAAAACCAAGGCCACTTGAAACCAATAGCAACATAGCAACAAGCGTCATTGAGGGGATATGCAATAAAGTCGCTCATCCAAAAGAATTGATACCAATAAGTATAGATGGTGGTCAGGCTCTATGTGTATTCTAACCTTCAAACCGATAATTCTGCGGAAGGCATTCGTGTAGTGTAGATTCTACCACAACAAAAGAGCTGATATCTGAACTTTTATTGAGATGCAGTGTGGCTTGCTAGGCATCAATGGCGCCTGTCTCACAACTACTACTCTACTACTGTAAATATCCATAATGAAATCACGTATTACGCAAGACGAGGGAGAGGTAATATTATCTGACCTGCGCTTATTTAGCTTCTGTGTCAGATCACGGGAATGTGCATTATCATGCTGTTTATTCTTACTAGATTCATGTCTTTTGCTGAAGTTTTCAGCCGATAATTACTTGTTTGCCATTTTGTATAAGTCTGCTAACCAGATGACTGCAGGCATATGAGTCCTAGATTATTTGATGCGAGGTCAAAAAACACAAATGCAATATGGACACCGAAAGTCGGATACTAGATGTGCTAATACCTTAAACAGTAACTTGAAACAAGAGAAGCGGTAAGGGTAATATCCAATGTGAAGGGAGGCAAATTTAGATACAAGCACTATTGCTATTTATAACAGTAATTACTATTGTTAAAAACATTACCTAAAAGGCAAGAATACGAAAGAAAAGAATAAAAAAACTAAAATCACCCCGAGAAGTAACACAAACTACGAACGCGATGGCCTGCAAACAGAATAGTAATCATATCCCAATAAACCTATGCATTCACGAGACCCTCCTCGCACCATGTTTTCGAATGAGTTTCAGTTTAAAGTGTCTGGTTCTCTATTGGACAAATGGTCTGATAATGATTTGTGTTTTACTGTTTCAGCACCATTGCTATGGCTTTAGGCAGTTTTTAGTTTGTACTCTTAAAGCGCTCATTTTGTCTGAGATATGAGTTTAAGTGGCACGAACGGGAGAGTTCCTTGTGATGAAGAAGTTGGGTTCCTTCCATCTAAAAATAACTCTGACACCAATGAAAGTAATAAGGCTTCTATGGACACCTATCGTCTTCTTACGAGGGAAGATTTGTTGCAACTCGATTCTAAGGAACCTATGTGGCGCCGTCTTCGATGGGGTTTATTTATACTGTTTTGGATTGTTTGGGTTGGATTGCTGTTGGCTGCAATTCTGATAATAGTTTTCACTCCAAAATGTCCACCACGACCGAATCTTCCATTTTGGCGATCAAGCATTGGTTATTGGGTAGACCCATTCGCGTTTAGAGACTCGTCAGATGATAAAATTGGTGATTTTAAAGGTAAAGTGCATATTCATATTGTTTCTAACTTTCAGGCTTGGTTGATAGACTCGACTATATAAAAAATGCACTAGGGGCGGGTTTCGTTGTTGTAACGTCTATGTTCTCTGGTTATTACTCAAATGATGAGAAAATACTTGGTCTTGTGAATGATTTCTACACACCTGATACTGCTGCTGGCAGTATTGAAGATTTTAGGTACTTCGTCAAGTCGTGCCACAGGAGCGGTGTTTATGTTGTTTTAACCATGGACTTTAACAGTGTCTCCACGAAGCATTCATGGGCTAAAAATGCGTCGCTGCTTGAACCATATAAAACTGGAAAGGTCTGTTTTAATTTGCCACTCATATTTCAATTTTAGTTTTCACGTTTGGGTGAGGACGCTAAAACAACCATAAGTGGCTCTGATTACTATTCTGTTTTTGGTGCAAATGTTGTGGACCTCAATCTCAGGGAATCGGGAGCACTAGATAACGTGATTGTAAGTTTTACTGGTGTGTATTTATATGCATCCGACCACTTGTTCTCCTTAGGATGTGACGAAGTTTTGGCTGAGCGAAGGGATAGACGGTATCCTTCTAGACAATGTTGCTTTCTACGTTGAGAATGCTGAGAACCCTAGTGATTCACTTGTATCATCGGTGGGTTTTGAATACTAGTCATATGTTTGTAACAGGAATCACAGTGGTTTAAGAGTTATCCAACTTCCCAGATATATACAAACGAGTCATTGGAATTCGTCCAAAAAATCAGAAAGGTTGTTGACGAAGTGTCGCAGTCAAGTGGGAAACCAAAGTAAGTTGTTTTATTGTGTTATTCTCCTAGATTACTAGCGGTGGACGCTGGAAATACAGGATATGGTGTTGGTGAGGGGGAGGATACGGCTATGAAGTTCTTAGGTACGAAAGAATCACCTGGGGCGCATGCGGTAGTAAGCCGTCAGTTTGTTAATCAACGTGGATGGTAAAGTTGACTGCTTTCTAGTAACATTGTTTTAGGAAAGCCACCCCTAGTAAGGCGGAACTGACAAGCAGTGACATTGTTACATATGACAAGCTGAAGGTAGATGACCGACATTCTATGATTTTGACAGCCGCTTCACCAAGCGACCCAAGAAAGGATGATGTAGTGTCGTTAGCATCCACACTTTTACTTCCAGGTGAGAACATAACTGAAATGTGTATGCGAGCTTGATTGCTCTGGTTGAATGCTTTAAAATTTATGCGAATTGCTTCCAGTATGTCGGTTTTGGATTTTCGCGGTAGTCCTCTCGATGTACATCTAATGTATGAAGGGGACGCGGAATCCCTTGTGGCGACCCTCGAGACCCTAGGAACGAAGACTAGAGACAATTGGTGAAATGGAAAGAAAACTGTTCCCAGTGGCTTAGATACATTCACTACTTACGAACGCTCGTCTTCATTAAATTCTCGTTACTTTTCAAGCAATTTTCTTTTCCTCGTGCAATTGGAATTGTTATAGTTTCTTTTTTCCTATTTTTGTGTGCTATATGGAGTTTGTCAACTTGGAGTTTTGCACTTTTGCACAAAGTCCTACATTCGAAAATTCATTTCAAAGGGAAACAAATGAGGGCTAAATTTGTTCGTTAAGACATCGGAAGTTATGAATGAATATCTCTTATTAGTTTTGGCATAATGAAGCTCAAGTAGCTATTGTTGGTGCTATTCTTGGAGAGATAGGATACCTACACTGCAAGTCACACATACAGGCGTCTTGTGAAAAGTGGCGATTTTGTGTGCAATTATTAATTGGTATGTAAATCAGGGTAAAACAAGCATATATCAACTTAGTGTGTTTCCGAGCTGCGTACAGAGGGTTAGCGTGACAAGTTTTTCTAGACGAGTGTAGATCAGGGCAGACTCCGACACCACTTCAGATGCTTACGAGGATCACTGTCGGAGTCTCTATCTCAGACGTTACTGGTCAGATATATAGACTCACTTTTCCTAAAAACAACCTTAAAATCACGTAACTCAGTTTGGGCTCTCTGTATAGTACACTTCTAATTAATTCAACCTCTAGAATTTGTTTTTCTATCGGTAATTACAGGTAGGCAAAGAAAACATTCAAATGATAACTATTTTGCATATATTTGGCAGTTTTACATCAAACGACTAAGGATATAGTTTTTGGAGAACATTTAGAAGGGAAACAAGTCCTCGTGTGATAATCATAGAGGGATCAGCCTAACGAACATAGTCTCTAAAATCCTAGGCTCAGTAATCATGCATAGACTAAGCAGAACTCGGGAGGAACAGACAAGGGAAAATCAAGCAGGCTTTAGACCAGGTAGAGGGTGCATAGATCATATCTTCACTCTTCGACAGATTCTAGAACATAGACACACTTTTCGGCGTCCAACAATTGTCATATTTCTTGACTTGAAGGCGGCCTTCGACTCCGTGGATCGAAAGGTACTATGGCAATGTCTGACTGTGAAGGGAGTGCCAAGAAAGTACATTGCACTAATCAAGGCACTCTATTCAAACTCACGTAGTCGTGTAAGGGCTTATGGGGAATTGTCATCTGAATTGGTAACAACCAGTGGTGTCCGACAGGGATGTCCACTTTCCCCATTTCTGTTTAACTTCGTCATAGATATGCTAACGGAAGTATCCTTAACTGAACGTAGTGACTTAGGAATCGACTTATTACCAGGGAATAATCTAATGGACTTAGAATATGCAGATGACATAGTCCTGTTAGGGGAGGATGCTGAAAAACTGCAGAGTCTTCTGAACACCTTGAGCAGTAATCTTCGTATGTTTGGCATGCGATTCGCCCCTGCAAAATGTAAGATGCTGCTACAGGACTGGACCACGTCAACCCCTAACTTAGTGATAGGGAGTGAAGTGATAGAACATGTTGACCACTTCACCTACTTGGGAAGTTGTATCAGCACCAACGGACTGATTGGCGACGAAATCTCAGCACGGATCCGAAAAGCTCGAGCTGCTTTCGCTGACTTACACCATCTCTGGCGTAGGCGTGACATCCGGTTATCAACCAAGGGACGTGTGTACTGCTCATCAGTTCGCTCCGTCCTTCTCTATGGCTCTGAAACATGGCCAATACGAGTTGAAGACATGAAAAGGTTGACTGCTTTCGATCATAGATGTCTGCGATCTCTTTCTCACGGTAGGTGGTTTCACAAGGTAAGTAATGTTGACGTTAGGCGTAGAGTGTTGGGCAAAGAGGGAAAATCAATCGACGAGGCTATAAAGTTACATAGATTGAGATGGCTAGGTAACGTGCTGCGCATGCCTAACCACCGCCTTCCCCGACGGGCATTGCTAGCTGACATAGGTTCAGGTTGGAAAAGAGCCAGTGGTGGCCAAACAAAAACATGGCCTCATCAATCCATGAAATCCTTGACAGTTAAACTGAGTCAGGTAGGGAGATGCAGACTTCCGGGTTGGGGGCCTCGGGACTCTAGGAATCAATGGCTGGAGACAATAGGTGACATGGCTCAAAATCGTTGTCAATGGCGCAGATGTATTCAGTCTCTGTAATCTTTCATATTCCTTCCTACCATTACCCATTCTGTTTCACTCTCATACTTGTCAAACTCTATTGATTCTCTCCACTCATCTTCTTGTCTACCTCTGTGTGCTATTTGGAACGTGGCAACTCGAACTGCTGCACTTCGGTGCCAAGTTCTATGTTGAATCCAGACAGACAGACAGGAGAACATTTGGGTTTTTGTCCAACTCGTATGTTATATTTGTTGCTGATGTATAATAAAGATTCCCCAACGATATCTTTTGTGGTCCAGGAAGTTAGTACATCTCTACTCGAACAAAACTGATGCCTACTTGGCAGCGAATCTAGTTGATACTGTATTTGTACAGGCAGTAACATTCAAACTATTCGATCTGGGCTCCGAAACATGTGCTATGATATGTTGGGAACCGAATTTTCAGTTACTGGGGAAAGTTATGAAGATCAATTCGGTGGTACAAATTTATAAACTGCACTACTATACAGTAAACATGGACGTAAAATTAATTGGCTCGTAAACTTACGAGTTATGTAGATTGCTCGAGACACCTCAATAATAAAGTTTTATATTCAAAAATGTGCCATTTCGAGAGTTTACAGTTCTTAGATTATTGGTAAATTTTCAGTATATTTGGAATTTCTTTTTCATTTCTGATAATCATCCAGGAACTTCACTGTTGTACTATGGTTCTGAATTAAATATTGAACTAAAGAGCGCAGAGTTCGCCTTTGATTTTTATCCGTTTGATAGAAAATCCATATTCCCTACTTCGAGTAACGATAACGTCCTCCTTTCTCACTTGGCGATGCCATGGGATCAGTCTGGAATAGGTTTTTCAGCTGCACTTTATAATTCAACTTCGTTTACAAATTATACAAAGGATTTTGGTATCGGTGAAACAGTCGAGGTGGGTCAATGTTCAGAATTTCCCAAAAAATATTTTTGTTTGCAAGTATTTTGCACTTTGATATTTGTCTTCTTCCCTTTCCTCCCCCCTCCCACAGAAAATCCGTGTCCGGCAAAGTTAAGTGTTTTATAGATGCACGACCCAGCCACTCAGTTGCCTCAAAAGTTATAAAATATGCAGACTGCAGCAGTGGTATGCGTCTTTATAACATTGTGTATTTCTGGTGAAATAGATCAGTTAGCTCTATTTTATAGAGTTTATACCAGTTGCCTCTTCAGATGGTAAAAGCTTAGACAATTTTATTCAGTTATGAAATGCCTTGTTGGCTAACCACCTTTAAGAATTCTGATCTGTTTGCCTGATGTCCTAGTAATATAAAGTCATACATTGTGGATATATTTTTCACCTACTTATATTGTCCAATTCATTTTATTCATTTCTGTCTCCAGCTGATGTAGATTACTCGTCCTGTTTTCAGACAGCTTACATTGAGCACCTCTAAACTTGTAACTGTCAGCATGACACTCATGTTGTGGGTAATTTCCTTCATACAAAGTGAAGTCTATTCCCTTCACTTCAAAAATTTCGTTTAAGAATACAATTATCTAGAATACTTTCATTTAACTTTTATCAAATATGAATAAAATATTCACTTTGATTATCATCCACATGACAAGATACAGGAGACCTCATTCTCTCATCACTTACTCATTTCAAACTCGTTTGCAATTTCATATTTCTGTACGTTATAAATGTTACATAACTTCCATTATATCTGGCTAAATTATTTTCAGAGGAGATCGAGGTATGGGGTTGAAAATAACAAGGACTCCTGAAAGCACCTCATGGTTGGGTTTTTGTCATTAATTCTAATTGCCCACCGTGGATTAACAGAAGTTGTAACAGAGGCAATTTGATTCTGTCTGACCCATTGATTGAACGGTGAGATGGTGACCGTGGGTTTTTAGACAGGATTCATCCTAAGGTAAATGGTATGCACTGTAACAGAGTTAGAAATTATAAAGAAACAAAATCCAGTGTCTTTGATTTGTAATGAATTTAATGATGGTAGCTATTTGTAACAACTTTCGAGTTGAAATTAATCACCTTCCGACCAACTCCTCAAGTGATTAATCATATTTGGTCAGGTGAAAGTCACGCTACTGATCTTCACCGCGTATGCAGAACTACAGATGTGTCCATCAGCGAATGTGTATATGCAAGCCTGTTATGTGGTTGATAACATTGCATAATGAGTAAACTCGATATGCGGATCACACAAATGCATTTCAGTCTTCTTAATAACTTGTATCACCAAAATCAGTATCATTCCTAGTAATATGTAGCTTGTAGACAGTGTCTTAAATACTAAAAAACACTCAGGAAATGAGATCCAGTCACTTGTGACTTTGATCACTTCACAGAAAAATTAGTCAGTGAGGTCTGTAGCTCTCTAATCAAGTTCGAATCAACAACTCTATGCCCATAAATTCCTAACTAAACAGAATATCACGGTTGTATGAATCAGATGATGATAAGTCAATATAGAAAATTAAGTCTTTTTTCGAATCACAACACATCACAAGAAAAACAAAATAAAGCAACACATATGTCGATGTTAAACTAGGAAGATATGAATGTGAGAGTAAGGAAAACAATCAAATGAAGTTGACTGAGTGTTCGAACCTCCTAAGCTGACAAAGCATGGACATATTTCCATCTGTTTCACCAAAATCCTTCGGCAATTATTATCTAGCATCCTGAGGTCTCCAGACAGAATGCCCACATTTACCTGTCACAGTCAATGGTTCCATTCTTTGATTTGACCACCATGGAATGATTTCCATCTGGTCTTTATCCACTTATAATTTCCCCATCGAGAAAACTGTTTCAGCATGTGTGATTACGGCATGAGCCTGAGTCAACGAAAATACACAGCATGATCAATCCAGTTGGGTTTCTTTCCTATATAACTCCAGTTCTTACGGCAGCATTACTTGCGGTGTTCCACTCTAAGTTAACAATATAACATCGACACAGTATAAAACCATGTAGTGGTTTCGTACATTTTGTTACATGATGGTTATTCGCTTATCACTATGGTCTATTTGTCACTATATAAGTTTATCAGGTCGATGAGTTTGACAGTGAAAACTTTTCGTCGAGTCATGCACTTCTTGGAAGCGACGAGTGGGTCCTCCAAGGGTCACATAGAGGAGATCGTATGGGGAAGAGATGAAAGAGTTTGGTCAATCGTAGACCCAACTAAAGAGGACTGCAGAAAACAGAACAACGTGGAGATGTGTTGTTGAAGCCCTTTGTTCCACTCGGAACTCAAGGGAATAATAATAATAAACATGCACTTCTTCCTATATGTTTAGATACAAATACCCACAGTTGCATAGGGTTGGCGGAACTCACTCCTATATGCACTACGTGAATAAGCTTCATCCATGTGAGGGACATCACTGAATTAGATCTCGAATTCTGGTTTCTAACCAATCAGCCATATGATTAGTTGTCGTATAGTTTTGAATCCGTGTAATCTTTTGTTTTGTGATTGAATTATAATTTAATGGTTTATAAGTAGGCGAAAAACCTCTGAAGGTGAGTTAATTAGTCATCCTTACGTTCCCACCTCATCCCTTTTCTGTGCTAAGTATGCTTTAACGACATCCCTTGAGTGTTTTTGGCGATATATCAGTTCGTGGATCTATCGATTATGGTTTATTTGTAGATGACTGTTTGACGTACATGCTCAATGCGACTCGGGCAGTCTCCTTAGTCGGGCGGTGGAGTCCTCTTCTGGGAAATGGGAATATGATTTTGCATCTCCATGCAAGTTGCGGAGTCTACCAGCTGTGCGTCGGTGGCACAGTGGTTAGGACTCTCGACGACCATGCACATGGTCCGGGGTTCGAGCCCGCACCGACGCACATCTGATATCTATGGTCGGCCTGCAAAATTTGGGCTACCGATATCCATGCTGAAAATTCCATGCTTGTACCGAAAATACAGTGTGGAATCAAGCTGTAAATAAAGAAAAAAAAAGAAAAGAAAAAGTTTTTTAATCCACAGTGAGAGAACTCAGCTGCTAGAAATACCCTGTCGAACACATGCTAGGTTTGTCTTGGAACATGAAGGAAGATCATTTCGTTTATGAAATCCACACAGGCCATAAACCACTACAATAATTATGCAAGATGACCTTGGGTTGTGATAGTATAATACCTAGACATGCGAAGGTCCCTTGAATTAAGTTTTCTGAATAGTTTTAAAGTGGTTACGAATTTCTCGTGTAATATTGTATTTTTATTTTGCATCCGCTAAGTATTTTCATGCCAAAATGTTAGAATTCTGCTTAGACTCGAAATACAGGACCTTCGTTTTCCTTGTTGACACTGAAGGTAACTTTTATTTAACATGCTCACATACACTTTTCTTCCTGCAATCTATTTAGTCTGCGTCAGCAAGTGGTAGAGGAGTTACTCCGTTCAGCCTCGTCCAGAGTCTTATATCAGTTAGCAAAAATGAAAGCATGTTATGGGGCGACTTCAAATTATTGGAATCTACTCCTACGGTAAGTCACTACCTCCTCGTTTAAAAAGACGTCGTAGTGTTGATTATTTTACAGATTTGGACTGCGTAATATTTGTGTACGTATACGGCTGTCAATGACCCAGTTCGATTAACGTTATTCTTCACTCATGAACATTTACCTAAAATAGAGGCGTACGATTTCTTTCATTCACATTTCGTGCTTTAAGTCTTAAACAAGCTTATATTTCTTTGTTTATACATGCTGAATAAAATGTATAACAATTAAAGTTGTAAGTTTTCATAAGTCAGATTGCATAAGATCAGATGCGTCGGTGGCACAGTGGTTAGGACTCTCGCTGACCATGCACATGGTCAGGGGTTCGATCCCCTGCTGACGCACACCCGATATCTAAGGTCGGCCTGCAAAATTTGGGCTACCGATATCACATGCTGAAAATTCCATATCTGTACCAAAAGTACGATGTGGAATCAAGCTGTAATCAAAAATATAAAAAATTCTACTGTGTATTGATGGAAAATAATCGTGATCTTACTACGTAAACAATCGATGAAGTGAGAACTTCTACTAACAGATGCTTTACTTGTGTTTCTCAAATTTTAGTGCAACAATGTTTTACAGTTGTCAGCTTGTTTTCTCTTATAGTGTAGGGAAAAGGAAAACACCAGCACTAAAACAGCAGTGTAGGAGGACACTAGAAGAAATTCTCTGACGTTGACTAGTGTCACTCAACTAAAGGGCAAATAAATCACTATATATGTCTAAAACCGCGTTTTTTAGCTTTGGTAAGTTCTAGAAAAACTCTATCATGGTTGCTCTTAAAGATGAACAGTATTGTTACATGGTTGTGAAACGAAAGCAGGTACAAGGAGAATATTTCAAATTTGTCAGTGATCGAGTTTTGTATAAGTTTGTCGAGGCATTTCGCTAGAAATTAAAAAAATCTAATTATCTGTTTTGCTTTTATGTTGTAGCCCAGACAGCAGCATTCAGAATACAAAATTTTGAGTATTTGTTGTATTTACGCAAAAAATTTATATTATTATCTTTTTCTGTTACAGACACGAGATTTGAAGTTCCAAATATTCGAGCGCAGAGCTGAAGGTTTTCCGGCATCCATAGTTGTACTACGTAAAGATGAAAGCACTGCTAGTGGAACTTTCAGTTTTTCTAGTGTTTGCCCGCGTATCATTCCAAGGGTGATATATCCACCGAATGACAAGTTTAAAATTGGTGAAGCAGTTAACAGTGAACGCGTCTACCTAAAGTCTAGTGGAGAGGCGATAGTTTATGTATTTGACTGTGCATAAAAGCTGTGTACTATCTATAATTGATTAATAGTATCACTAGTTATTAGTTCCACAGCTAATTGGACGTGTATCTTTATGTTCGAAGCTGTAATCTTTAACAAAGTTAATGCTTAAGTCTACCAATATTTCCAACCAATTGACAAATATACTTGTTTTTGGATGGAATTTTATTTATTTATCTCAAAAACGAGTATTCTAAGTTGTTCAGAAAAGCTTGATGCATACAACAAAATACTTATTCTCTGTCTAGGTTGACAATGTACATGATTTGTAGTAAGATTTTATAAAGCCATCACTTAAAGGATAGGTTAAAAAGATGAGGTGTATTATTTTTAATAAAATAAGTCCTAATTGCATATATTCTGAGTCTGATCAACCTCATAAACTTGAAAGCTTCAGTCAGTTTTTTTGGAACGCTTTGAAAATGATACATAGCAATATGCATAGTGATCGATTCCAATCTTTAGAGACCCAGGAAACAATATTTGAGTACAGTCGCGTATTGTATATGAACCATAAGTCGTAATTTTCAAAAATTGTACAGGTGTGTAGGATTTCTTAATAGTGGATCTAGTGGAATGTCAGCTCGTATATGTGTGGATAGTTCTGTAAGAAGGTTGATTATGTCCAAGGCAAACATCTTGGGCATCTTTTCTTTCACATTCGCTAACTTCTTTATAGATATCTTTCGCTTACATTCTAGAATGACTAACAATGAGTGAGCGTGAGACTACTGCTAAAAGTTCCATTATCAGTTTTCTATCCGTCGTTGAATATTTTCATAAATGGAAGGCACAGAACTGGTGTGTTGTAGTGTCCTAAGTAGACTACTGAATGTATCTTGTGGGAAACAGCCACGTTAAGGAGATTTAACAAAACGTTACCTACAATTAAATTAATCTGACCAAACGGTGACTAAGAGATCAGTATGTGTAACCTGATGAATCCCATTTTATGTATCACTATTTTTGCACTCAGTAGTTATCTTCACTTCCAACATATTTAGTTTGAACAGCAACCTGATTGGCGGGACTTTACGTTGCTATTGCGAAAATCTGCATATTCGTTAAATTAAGAAAGTTTGAACACTACAGTTCGCAGAAAAGCTTACACTGAAAGCTTTTATTATATTTCAGATAGGAATTGAGGATAAATTCTTGAGAAATGCCAAATAGAATGCAGAGAAATAGATGGTAAAGTTATGTGGTGAGAGAAACTCAGTCCACATTTTCGTAGAATACTTTGGCTTTTCTAATCAATAAAGCATACGAAATAGAGAATGGAAGAATGTTATACCGTCCCGTTCCTTTCAGCCTTCAAGGTACTTTGCAATTAGAGTTCGAACTCCGTGGACCTACAAAATTCCAAGTTTATGTTTCCTGACGATCTTGGCTTTTTCATACAGTAATACCCATCTTATTGCATTATCATATTCAACCAAGATTGTTTATTAAAAATAAATTTGTACAGCTCCTTTCTCTCGTCTCTCTGTTCACACCCGGTTTCATCAAGTGTACATTGTGTAACGAATAACCTTTTCCTGTATCCAATGAGTAGAGGCCTCCAAACGATATCAAAAGTCACCATCCTTGTTTAGTTATTACGGATGTGTGTCTCTTTGACTTCGACATCTCAGGAATCTGCTTGCCACCAGAGAACTAATTCCTTTATTTCGAGTACACGGAAGTTACGTTACTTTTCTGTGACGCTGATAAAATCCATCTAGACCAAAATTTGAGTTTGGCTTCACAAACTTCACCCTTTTTGCGATGTAAATTAATGCCACGGCACTGGTCTGAGCTACTTCTGGTCTAGGAACATTAAATAAAATGTTTGAATGTGTGCAAACCAATTTGCTTATTTGAAAAGTTGCATCAGCTGCAAATGAATTCGTTGGCGACAAAACCTCTGGATATGTATACAAAAGGGTTGTGTGGTACTTGCCACTTCGCATCATCGTTGGCAAATGCAAAATGTCTGGCGTATCTCTATGTGAAACATAACTGTTGAAGCTATAAAACGATTACAAGTACTAGATCAGATGTATCCTTGTCGAGATGCTTATATAGAATGGAACCACTGCACAAGTAATGTTGAGGTTAGTTGTGGAGCGTTACGAAAAATAAATAAGTCCACAGATGATGTTCCTAATCTTTGTCGACTGAGGCGGCTGTTACGATTAAACATCGTAAGTAATTGTCTTTCTCGTAGGACAATGTTAAGTGAATAAAGGTTAGACTGAAAAAATATTGAAGGGTGGTCAAATCAAAGTTACTAGTGTCAAATCAAAAGTGACTGACTGTTTGTCAAAGCCACAGAAAGATGTGAATAATATGAATGGAGTCCTCCGAATGCTACAATTTGGTGGATGGAAGCATTTAGTAGAAAATACGTGAAAATGCACGTTCCTTACCGTCTTTCGATGTCATCATACACTATGATAGCAGTATTATTGTGAATCAACTTTCGCCAGCTACATAAAATCACAAAACAAAAGATTACACGGATTCAAAACTATACGACAACTAATCATATGGCTGATTGGTTAGAAACCAGAATTCGAGATCTAATTCAGTGATGTCCCTCACATGGATGAAGCTTATTCACGTAGTGCATATAGGAGTGAGTTCCGCCAACCCTATGCAACTGTGGGTATTTGTATCTAAACATATAGGAAGAAGTGCATGTTTATTATTATTATTCCCTTGAGTTCCGAGTGGAACAAAGGGCTTCAACAACACATCTCCACGTTGTTCTGTTTTCTGCAGTCCTCTTTAGTTGGGTCTACGATTGACCAAACTCTTTCATCTCTTCCCCATACGATCTCCTCTATGTGACCCTTGGAGGACCCACTCGTCGCTTCCAAGAAGTGCATGACTCGACGAAAAGTTTTCACTGTCAAACTCATCGACCTGATAAACTTATATAGTGACAAATAGACCATAGTGATAAGCGAATAACCATCATGTAACAAAATGTACGAAACCACTACATGGTTTTATACTGTGTCGATGTTATATTGTTAACTTAGAGTGGAACACCGCAAGTAATGCTGCCGTAAGAACTGGAGTTATATAGGAAAGAAACCCAACTGGATTGATCATGCTGTGTATTTTCGTTGACTCAGGCTCATGCCGTAATCACACATGCTGAAACAGTTTTCTCGATGGGGAAATTATAAGTGGATAAAGACCAGATGGAAATCATTCCATGGTGGTCAAATCAAAGAATGGAACCATTGACTGTGACAGGTAAATGTGGGCATTCTGTCTGGAGACCTCAGGATGCTAGATAATAATTGCCGAAGGATTTTGGTGAAACAGATGGAAATATGTCCATGCTTTGTCAGCTTAGGAGGTTCGAACACTCAGTCAACTTCATTTGATTGTTTTCCTTACTCTCACATTCATATCTTCCTAGTTTAACATCGACATATGTGTTGCTTTATTTTGTTTTTCTTGTGATGTGTTGTGATTCGAAAAAAGACTTAATTTTCTATATTGACTTATCATCATCTGATTCATACAACCGTGATATTCTGTTTAGTTAGGAATTTATGGGCATAGAGTTGTTGATTCGAACTTGATTAGAGAGCTACAGACCTCACTGACTAATTTTTCTGTGAAGTGATCAAAGTCACAAGTGACTGGATCTCATTTCCTGAGTGTTTTTTAGTATTTAAGACACTGTCTACAAGCTACATATTACTAGGAATGATACTGATTTTGGTGATACAAGTTATTAAGAAGACTGAAATGCATTTGTGTGATCCGCATATCGAGTTTACTCATTATGCAATGTTATCAACCACATAACAGGCTTGCATATACACATTCGCTGATGGACACATCTGTAGTTCTGCATACGCGGTGAAGATCAGTAGCGTGACTTTCACCTGACCAAATATGATTAATCACTTGAGGAGTTGGTCGGAAGGTGATTAATTTCAACTCGAAAGTTGTTACAAATAGCTACCATCATTAAATTCATTACAAATCAAAGACACTGGATTTTGTTTCTTTATAATTTCTAACTCTGTTACAGTGCATACCATTTACCTTAGGATGAATCCTGTCTAAAAACCCACGGTCACCATCTCACCGTTCAATCAATGGGTCAGACAGAATCAAATTGCCTCTGTTACAACTTCTGTTAATCCACGGTGGGCAATTAGAATTAATGACAAAAACCCAACCATGAGGTGCTTTCAGGAGTCCTTGTTATTTTCAACCCCATACCTCGATCTCCTTTGAAAATAATTTAGCCAGATATAATGGAAGTTATGTAACATTTATAACGTACAGAAATATGAAATTGCAAACGAGTTTGAAATGAGTAAGTGATGAGAGAATGAGGTCTCCTGTATCTTGTCATGTGGATGATAATCAAAGTGAATATTTTATTCATATTTGATAAAAGTTAAATGAAAGTATTCTAGATAATTGTATTCTTAAACGAAATTTTTGAAGTGAAGGGAATAGACTTCACTTTGTATGAAGGAAATTACCCACAACATGAGTGTCATGCTGACAGTTACAAGTTTAGAGGTGCTCAATGTAAGCTGTCTGAAAACAGGACGAGTAATCTACATCAGCTGGAGACAGAAATGAATAAAATGAACTGGACAATATAAGTAGGTGAAAAATATATCCACAATGTATGACGTTATACTACTGCTGATTGAATGACACGATTAGTTGAACGCCACTAACATCAACCACTGGTGCTTTCTAACCAGATCTAAGTGATCTGAAATCAGAGGGCTTTTCTTCTCCCTCGAGGCCCAACTCACTTAAGGATAGCTCAGACAGCCGAATCAGTTGGTTCAAACCACCTGAATTCTAGGTTGAGAGAACGATTGATTACTGGCGCAAACACTACTGGTTGGTGTTAGTGGTACACAACTACTCTTCTTAGTGAATCAGTAGTATATGGTGTCACGTTTTTTGCTTGCCTTCTTAAACGCCATTTATACCATTAAGCAGGTGACATTCTGTGGTCTGAATAATTTCAGTTTTGAAAGGAAACAGTTGTGAAATTCCTCTTCGAACTGTTTGAATTGAGAATAAAATGTATCCATCAATGCAAGAGGTGCAATCACATATCGAAAGAGAATGAAGACAAATGTATGTGAAGCTACAGTTTAGTTTTACTGATTAGCCTATTGAAAGGATGAATTGAATTCCATTCATCTCAGTAGGCTACTGAATTTTAATGTAATACTTTTGTTGACTCCCATATTACTAACAAGTTTCTTGGAATAGGATGTATGTAGTAAAAGTGGTCGGTGAGATTCATTCTTCGCAATAGGAGGGAGTTTTCGTTTCAAAGTTCGGTATCGTGGAGGGCTTTGTAAGGATAGACTAATGTCATATCAGTCATCAGTTATCCTGCGCAGTATGCGCAGCCTAATGACTAACATGCTGGATTGCTAATTAGTGTTGTAAACTACCCATAATTTAGAACAAATCACCATACAACATTGAATCAGTCAAATTAGGCACACTAACAGTCTGAATGTACAATTCACAAGTGAAATGTATAAATTTTTTAAATTATTCATCTGACAGC